CATTTGCAGAATGTGTCGTCATTCTTTTGCCGTTTTGGTCGAGTTTACTCACACGACTTTTTTAATTACCGATTTACCCCCGTGGTGGATAGCAAATCGTCATTGTAATAATTTTCTGTTTCAAAACAATTTTTTTCACTTCTTTTATATACTCAGCCGCAAATAATCAATCAAAAAACCAAACTTAAACTTGTCGGGTCGGGTTTCAGAACCAAGGATCGCTTGTGAGCTGATCCATGCAGAAGACATTGTCAGATGGGGAGCTTGGCTAGGGTGGTGCATCTGTTAAAAAATAGCGCATGTGAGTTCTGTTGTGTACCTGCTCTTGTTGTAACCAAAGGCTTGACATTCAATTGACGTCAAGGCACTGCTTGTGGTACACTATCTGTTGGCTTGTTCCCAAAAAGTTTTAATATATTCAAAACACGTGCAATGTTGTTTCAGCGGCCGGGATACAGAATCAGAGGTTGAAGTCATGATTGACTCTCACCTAGTACCTAAGGTAGACAGGTTTCGATATCTTGGCTCGGTAATCCAGGCTGATGGGGAGTTAGATGCGGATGTTGGACATCGTGTTCGAGTGGCTTGGGCCAAATGGCGGTTAGCTTCAGGGGTGTTGTGTGATCCGAAAGATTTCACCTAGAATGAAAGGTAAGTTCTATCGATCCGTAGTCAGACCTGCTATGTTATATGGGGCAGAGTGTTGGGCGGTTAAGAAGACTCATGTGCGTCGTTTGCATGCGGCGGAGATGCAGATGTTACGATGGATGTGTGGGAAGACAAGGTTGGATAGGATTCCGAACGAATTTATCCGATGTCAGGTAGGCATGACACCAGTGGAAGATAAGTTGCGGGAAGCGAGGTTGAGATGGTTTGGCTATGTGAGACGGCGGGATGCTGACGCCCCTGTACGGAGATGCGAGAGGATTACGGTTATCGGGGGAAGTAGGGGAAGGGGTAGACCTAGGAAAAATTAGAAGGAGGTGATTAGGTAGGATTTAGGACTTCTCGACCTGACTGATGATATGGCTCTAGATAGGAACCTTTGGAAAACTAGGATTAGAGTAGCTGGATAGGAGCTCGGTGTTGTAGAGGTTGTTTTGTAGTGTGTTGTATTTGTTTGGAATTTTCTACAATTGCTTGTACTTGTTGCTTGTACTTGGTGCTGTATCTGTACTATATTGTGTTCCCTTCCATATTTTTGTGCAGGTGGAGCCGGGGGTCTCTTGGAAACAGCCTCCTTACTTTCAAGTAGGGGCAATGTCTGCGTACACACATCCTCCCCATACCATACTATTGTGGGATTCACCTGGGTTGTTGTTGTTCACAAAAAGTTTTAATATATTCAAAACACGTGTTTCAAAAATACATATATCAGAGGAATTTAGGGTTTTAAAAAATTTATTGAAATCTTTCTTTTTTTATTGAAAGTCGGATACAGGTCAGGTTGGGTACGGGTGAGGTCGGTCAAATATACTAACCCAAACTCGACCCGACAAATGTCGGGTCTGATCTAAATTTTTTCAAGCCGATTTCGGATATTTAATTTTTTTATTTGAATTCAGATATTATAAGTTCAAGTCGGGTCGATAAAAGTCGGATTTGGGTAGAACTGTCATCCCTACTTGAGACCTGTTTTTTGTATATGCTCTAACATGATGGCCATTTTCAAATTTGTAATCCTTAGTCAATAAAACTCCAATATAATGATCTACTCAACCAAATGTTCAAAATTATGGTTGTGGTTGGGCGAATTGTACCCTCACCCGACGACTAGTTACCGGTTATTTTCTTCCGTTGAGACAGTCCCCTATTTCCTGGAACACGATAAAGCAAACAGTGGTCTCCCGTTCCTCCGTTGAGGCTGAATACCGTGCTATGGCTGATGCCGGCCTGTATTGATGTACGTTGGATCCGTGGACGGTTGGCCGCATTGGTTGTCCCTTGTGTTGTTGTTTCGAAGTTATTTTTTTGATAATGAATTGACTATGTTTATTGTGGCTAATTCTTGTTTTCATGAATGGTCTAAGCACATTGATTTCGACAATCATATTGTTCGTGAGTGCCTTCAGCGTTAGCACATCGTCACTGCATATGTTCCTACATGCTTTCATATTGCAGATATCTCTACCAAAATACTAGTAGGACCCTTGTTTCAATTGTTATTGTCTAAGTTGAGCATTTATGATCTTCATGCTGCAACTTGCGGGGGAGTATCAGAATATATTTATTGTTTTGTTAATATGTATTATTGTATTGAGTTTAATTTATGGGCCACATATTTGGGTCGTGTAATGTTTTGTATACATACTTGGTGACTAATGAAAACAAGTCGTTCAGTTCCAAAATTCTACCATATATAAAAGAAGAAATTATACGTAGTATTTCTATATAAATGTGTGATCAATAGTTCTTTGTGAAATGTAGTTTTCAAATATTGTGTTTTTTATAAATTAAATATACTGTATGCGTGCATAAATGTGAATATTAACTGTAAAAATGTTACACTGGAAGCTGTGAAAAATCAAATGAGAATTCAAAAAACTACTAAATTAGGAATAAAACATCGAAAAACTAAAAAACAAGAGCTTAATGTTTCTTATCCTAAAATAGGAGTTACAATACTAATAATATCAATATATAATGTTGGATTTTTTGACATTTTAAGGCATTAAATGGACCAACCTGGGTATATTTGTTAATAGGTCCACTAACGGTTTTAACCGTTAATTAATGGACATGTGTTCTCGTAAATGAGATAAATGTTTTGATAAATTTATACTCCAAAAATGGTAGAGGGTGAATGAGAAATTGATTCTCAGAGTTAACCCGTTAATAGAAGAATATGGTAAGGGTTGCAATTTTGCAATTTTACTAAGCGTGTAGCCTCTTTTTCCCTTCTTACACGTAGGTAATCATGGAGGGGTTATGGTAGATTGACTCTAGAATCCATCCCGGAGAGCAGCATGACGGAGGAGATGTACGGATGCAGGGATTTGATGTTTGATTTAATTATAAGGCTTCCGCACTGTTTGTATAAACTCTGATATGTAACTAGACTCGTACCCGTGCGTTGCACGGAGAGAAAATTTATTTTAAATTAACATGCAATATTTTTAAGAATTAAAGAATATCTCAAAGAGCGGGACTAATTTTAAATTAATCCAAATTATTAGAAAAAATAGAAGTATTTTCAAAATACTTCTTTATAAATCACAATAAAGTATCTTTAATCGAAAAATTTTAATAAGTTGTTTCACCTAGAAAAGATGACGTGAAATTTATGTGGAACACATGTGAATTCAATGTTCTTAATAAGTTGTTTCACGTTCGTTCATCGATGATGTGAAGCTTATTAGAACGCATGTGAAGCACCAATTGCTTCATTTTTCAAAGAAGTTGTTTTGTGACGCAACTATATCATAGCTATAAACTCCCCCAAAGTAGGGGTGAGCGTGACACGGTATGGTACGGAATTTGGTTCGTACCAATACCGTACCAAATATTTCGATTCGATTTGGATTTTACATCCTATCGATCCCGATCCTAATCCCGAAGTATCGGTTTGAGATGTTTCGATTTTGGTAAATATTGGGTTGAATATATATACACGTACTTAATTTACACTTTGAAATGTACAAATTTTTTATTTAAAAAATAATTGAAAGTACATTCATATGAAGAAAGATAAAAAAACGTAGTTTAATTTGTACTTCATATTTAACATAAAGATTGAACGAATAATAAATGAGTATTAGCAATTGACCCATCTTCCCAATCTCTACGAAATGAGTTTTACTATTTTCCATGTTAAAATCTATTGAGTTGATCCTTTCTTCGTGCAATTTCCATGATGATGAGGACATTCTAGCTCTCAAGACCCATATTCCAAGATACCCATCCCCTCAGCGTAATATAATGAATTCGAATTGTCCGGTCATTGTGATTGAGCATATAGAATAATCACTTTAATATATGGAATCAAATAACTCCTTATTAATGTCCATCAGCCTGATAAACCCATCATAACAGGATGTAAACATCTGAAACAAAGTGAAACCATAGATTAGAACAATGGATTCAGATACTATGTAAAAAAAAACTACTTCAACCATGAACGATGGAGTAAGTTGTGTGTGTGTCAAACTTGGCGTCATTTAGATACCAACCTAAATGAGGAAAACATTGCAGAGTAAAATAAAACAAAAAGCCAATCCTAAGTAAAACAAAACTTGTGAGTTTAATATTCATGCCAACAAACCACTCTCCTCTCCCTATGAGAGTGGGCAAAAAGAGTGGTTATAACTTATATTAACAGTTTTAAACTCCGTGTCTGTACCAATGTTAAACTCGCATTTAAAGTGATTGTTTATACCTAAATGCACAATTAAGGGTGTTGGCATTGATAGGTTAATAAGTTCTTCATAGCCAATGCACCAATGTTAAACTTCAGAAGTTCTTCATAGCCAAGTTTTAAACTCTGTGTCTGTACCAATGTTAAACTCGTATTTTAAGTAATTGGTTACTCTCACCGTGCATAATAAGTTCTTCATAGCCATCCGCAAGTCACAATGTTTTCAATCTTTCATCATCACATCTGGATCCTTCTTGCTGAAAGAACAACAGGCTTCGAGTGGCTATGAAAACATTGCTTTGCAGTTGAAGTGTGGATCAAATGGAAGAGAACACCTACCTGCTATGCGGTTCTTTTAGATTGAAAATCAAACTTAAATTGTAATTGAAGCTGTATACATACCTAGCCGCCAACCCCCTTCGTCTAAGCAAGATCCAATCGTTGTAGATGTGGCTACGTCTCTTTGAGTCATTTCGTCGAACATACAGTGAGCATTGCTCATCCAAACCAAGCAATTCCTTTTCTTCAACTACAAAATCAGACATATACTTGAGTAAATATGTAAAATCGAAGATAAGAAGAAGAAGAAAAAGAAGATGAGGAAGTACTATGGAGTACTATGTACTATATGGAGTCCTATGTACTATATCTCATAAAAGAAGTATACAAATGTAATTCAAAAAGTTAAGATTTTAATCTAATCTCCAAATTAAGGAGGGTCAAATGGTGCTGACCTTAAGCAGATGGTGGCAAAAACTTGAAATTTGGGTTCTTCTTGCTCACATCCTCTCACTTCCCCGTCCCTGTGCGATCTTTCATCTTTGGTTGAGCACTGTGCACAGGAACCTTGCACCTGGATTCTGTCCTTTGGCCATTGTTAGAAATTAGTGTTCCAGGGTTTTACTCTTTTGAGTATCCATAAAATGTAATCAATATGCACGTAGCTCAATGTCAGAACATCACCCATCAAGCAGGCCCAACTCACCAGACCTAGACCCAATTCCAGGTTACCCAGCCCAATGACTTTAGGCGATGCACGGGATCATATTATATCAAAATTTAAATTGTTGATAATATAAAAATTAAATTTTATAAATTATTAAGTATAAATTATACTCCCTCTGTCCGAAAATATTCTTCACATTTGACTTTTTTTGGTCAAAGTTTATAAACTTTGACTATGATTTGTGAAAAAAACACACTGTACTATGATTAAATTTAATATCAATATATTCATAATGAAACGTAGTTTTCAAATATCAATTTTTTATAAAATATATCTATGTACAAATATAAATATTAATGGTCAAAGTACAATATTGGAGATCATAAAAAGTCAAATGGGAAAAATATTTCTAGACCAAGGGAGTACTTCATAATTATTGTATTAATTGGAGACAAAATCGTGCATTACACTTGGTCTACAAATTCAAATTAATAGAGCTAAGTAACTTAACGTGAGCATTGTCAATGACAATTTGATAGTGAGTTAAAGATCTAATACATAAATTTTAATAATATTTGAATCAAACAATATACACATCAAATAAGTGATTTATAAAAACTCTTGTTGCAACTTTAATGTTTAAATCCAACCAATTACTAAATAACTCTTTATACGTTAGTTTATATTATGACAGAATTCACCCTTAGAAAAACTATTTCTAAAAAAAGGGCAAAAAGCCCAAAAAGATACCGGAGTATATCAGCACAGGGTAGTAGCTCGGATTCAGCCTCCTTTGTGCTTCTCCTTTGTGCAGATGGGCTAGTAGCTCGGATTCAGCCTCAATGAACTTGTTTCTTGCTCTATTAACAGAAGAGTGAAACATAAATTATTGAATAATATAAATTGTAATAATGGTTAATTGGAAATCTGGACAACAAAACGAACACCACAAATAAGATGCTTTATTTGTTATTGTTGTACTAAATAAATCATTTGAAGAACAAATATCTAGCAAGTAAATCAATAACTCCTTACCAAGACCAAACATTGATGTTGAGAACTTGGTTTGCTCGTTCATGGTGTTACACCTATAAAGCTAATGTTAGTGACTTCCAGTTTCTTGACAAAATGTCCAACAGTAGCCAAATCCAATAGAAATTAAATCACCATAGGAGCTCTAAGAATACCATCTAGTCAAACCTGCACTTTGGAAGCCTTCAACATGCTCCTACACAAACAAAGACCCACAAAGTCAAATACGTAGTCTGAATAGCATAAACAATTTATATATGTGGGCTAGGGCCTAATACCAAGTGCTTATACTCATTCTACGCTTTGTAATCTCGAGAGAATCAAAAGCAACATAAAATAAAATACTTCCATACCATATGGAATCCATTCTTTTACACATGTAAAATAAAAACATGTGAACTATATAATCACACTCAGTCATAAGCTTTAAATTTATCATTCTCAAACATGTAAAAATTACTAATCTCAGGAGTCAGAGTACTTACACATGGGATGTATGGATTTAATTTCTTTATCTCAGATTTTCCTTAATCCGTGACTTTCTCTATCTTGAAGTCTCTCCTTTTCCACTTTTCCTCATAATCTATGTTGTCCTGAATAGTCTCATCTGCAATTTTGTTGATAAAACAACTACATTACTCGAGTGGCCCAAAGGTTCCTACCCATAGCTGGGTAAGGGAGATCAAATGTATGAAATGTGATCCGTATGTAAAAATATAGAGCTATTGTTTAAAAGAATAAACTAATCCTAAATTTGGATGGTTCAAACTTGAATGAATTGAATTGAATTGAATGAAACAAACTAAAACGAATACATCTCAAGTGATGAAAGAAAAAGAACAACAATCCTAAATTGAACAAAACTGAACTTTTTTTTAATTTGTCACAATTTATTAACCTGAATCAAATTCTAAAACAATTAAGAAACATTATAGAAATTCCTTGTATAAGACACAAATTGATAAATACCTGAAACTGCCGAGGACATAAGATAGGTTCAAAAATCAAATCTTCAAATGATGAAACCCTAGATCCGGAAAAGGTTTGCGGCAGATTCCTGCAAGGATGATAGCGCTGGGAGAGTTTGCATCCAGAAAGACGATACACTATGACTCGGGTGTTCGATATGCATATCTGCAGCGGCTGCCCTCTTTCCCGCAGCGGCGGCTTAGCTCGCCGACTTTACTTGCGGTAGTGGAATAGATTTTACTCGTGGTGCTGTAGTCGCCTGCTTAGAGATACTCGCCATTAATGTGCAGCTAAAGCGAGAGATGAAGCGTACCTGAGACGATGGCGTGAAACCCCTCTCTCCTTGTCCCGTCATCTCTGTACCGATTGGCGTACACTGTAGCCAATAAATAGGCGGGAATACTGTTCACATTTGTATATAGTTAGATTATTAAATGATTTTGAATTGTTGAGTTTTAAATTAAATATTTTAATTTATTGGAAAATATTGTATGTGAATACCAATTTGGTAGCAACCTGGTTCGCTAACCTATTTATTCGGATTACGCGGGTTGGGGTGTTACAAAATCCTTTGGTAGAAAATGTTCCTGCAATATGTTTTTTAAGTGTCAATCATGTAAGGAATCTCTGCCTGATTATTAGATAAAGATTCAAGTTTTTAAAAAGAAACTTATTGTTCACTTTGTAGGTTTTGACCCTTTCTTTTCCCAGCTAAGAAAATCAGTTATCATGTTGATTTACAAAGTCATTTTGACTCTTTTCTCAAATTTTTTTCTCATGTGACTGGGTCTACCTTAATTTTTGTTTGAACTTTTTCACATCGTTGTAAACATCTTGGGATTGGTTTTGAAATTAAAATGGTAAAAATGCAGTGGAGATGGTGGAGCTTCCAATGGGAATCTAATGGTGTGTTGTGTCGGTGCAGCTGCGAGCAGAGGCAGCAGAGGATGAACGGTAGAGGAACCAAGGAGGCACTTGCTCAGACACAACCTCATAAACACAAATCAAGCTAAAAAGATAGGTATAAATATTTTGTACAGCATTTATTTGGATGATTGTCTATATAATCAAGGCAATATTATTTCTGCTATGTAATTTTTGGTACTCATTAGGATGCATTATTTGGAAAAGTCATTAAGGAGGGTGAAATATTGAGAAAGCTTGAGAAGCTACTTTGTTACAGTTATCAGGAAGCTACTCTAATGGCAGAATGAGAGCTTCGAATTAACTGTAATGGAGAATGACAGTTACAGAGGAAAGAGAGGAAGAAGAAAGTGATGTCTTATTATAATTCATAACTCCCAAATGTACACAGGGTATGGTATTTATACAAAGGGCTTACAACAATCTTCACAACAACTTCTAACTAACTATAACAGCTTCCCACAAATCAGTAACAGCCCTAATTACCGCTAACAGAATCAGTTTACCAGCCACCTGGCTCCCATCTAGATGCTTGTGCTGTAACATACCATCCCCCTTTTAACAACCTTGTCCTCAAGGTTGGAATTCTGGGAACTTACTCAGTAACTCTTCGGCCCATTCCCACGTGGCATCTTCTGGGGACTGACCAGTCCACTGAACCAAAAACTGGGTCTTTGCCATGTTATTCTTCTTAGCTGGTCTGCGAGCAAGAATAACCATGGGCTTGGGCAAGTCTTTTGTGCTGAGACCCTGTAGCCATGTTGGGATATGTGGTTTTGCTGGCAGTGTCCCTTTGAAGGGCTTTAAGAGGGATACATGGAAGACGTTGTGGACTTTGGTTTCCTCTGGTAGCTGCAGTTTGTAGGCCACCTTGCCAACAACAGCTTGAATTTGGAAAGGACCAGAGTACTTAGCGCTCAGCTTCTCATTGTTTCTGGTCAGCAATGTAGTTTGTCTATAGGGTTGGAACTTAAGCCAAACCCAGTCTCCCGCCTGAAAAGTCCTTTCTGATCTATGGCTATCCGCTAGCTGTTTCATCCTGTTTTGAGCCTTCAACAGATTAAACTTAAGCACCTTAATCATCTCCTCTCTCTTTTGTTGGGACCTGTCCACAGCTTCAACTTTGGATTCCCCTGGCAGGTAGGGTAAATGGATAGGAGGTCTTTGATTGTAAACAATCTCATAGGGAGTCAAACGTGTAGCTGAATGGAAGGTAGTGTTATACCACCATTCTGCCAGAGGTAACCACTTAGACCAATTTTTTGGATTCTCGCAGGTCATACACCTCAAGTAGCTTTCCAAACATTTGTTAACTATCTCTGTTTGACCATCTGTTTGTGGATGGTAAGAAGATGAGAGTAACAAATCTACCCCATGCACTGAGAATAGAGCCTGCCAGAATGTACTCAGAAACACAGCATCTCTATCACTCACAATGGACTTAGGCATTCCATGGAGTTTATAGACATTGTCCAGATAAGATTGTGCCACTTCAAGCGCTGTATAGGGATGGGAGAGGCTCATAAAATGAGCATATTTGCTCAATCTGTCTACAACAACAAAGATTACCTTCTTACCATAAGAGTTGGGTAATCCTTCAATAAAGTCCATAGAGACATCCATCAAGACCTCTTGAGGGATTGGTAGTGGCTGTAAGAGACCAGCAGGGGCAGTGGTTTCATGTTTACAGGATTGGCAAACCACACAGTGTCTAATGAAATGTGTCACTTCTTTATTGAGTCCCTTCCAGAAAAACAGATTCTTCACCTTCTGTAATGTGGCATCTCTTCCAGAATGGCCTCCAGCAGGAGAGTCATGTGCCCAACGTAAGATTTTCAGTTTTAACTGTGGATCAGTTCCTACTACCAATTTCTCTTTCCTCCTTAATTGTTGATGTTCCCAAGAAAAGTGGCCAACACTTTTCCCATCTTGCAGTTGTTGGATGACACTCTGCAATTGGGTGTCTCCTACCCAAGAAGCTGTTATCTGAGACAAGAGATCAGATTCAATAGTGGATAGCACTAGTTGCATGAGCTGCCCTCCTGTGACTCTTGACAAAGCATCTGCCACTGTGTTGTCTTGCCCCCTTTTATACTGGATCTCATAGGAAAATCCCATAAGCTTGGATAGCCAAAATTGTTGGAAGGGTGTAGATATTTTCTGCTCTAGTAGCCACTTGAGGCTTTTTTGATCTGTTTTGATGATAAAGGGTTTGGCAACCAAATACTGCTCCCATCTCTGTACTGCATGGACTAAAGCCAGTAGTTCCTTCTCATATACAGACAAATTCTGCCACCTAGGGCCAAGAGATCTGCTAATGAAAGCTATGGGGTGATTATTCTGCATTAACACAGCCCCAATACCCTTTTGAGATGCATCTGTTTCCACTACAAAGGTTAGTGAAAAATCAGGAATGGCTAACACCGGGGCTTCCAC